AGAGCCCTTCTGACATCAAGGGTATGCATCTGTGCCTCAAAGGTGTTGGCGTGAGGATTTGGGAAGAATAGAGTGAAGTGTATAAACTTAAAAAACAACAAATGGTCTGACTAACAAAACATAAGCGTATAGTTCGGTTTAAGTGGAAGGGAGAACACAACTTTGGTAAGAACTTAGGGTGCGGATGCAACTAGGCTTTATCAGTAGAAAAGATGGTAAATGGTAGGTCAGCCATTAGGGTGGTCATCTCAGCCACTCTATGCACTGAAGTTATTGCAACTAAGAATGCTGTTTTTAGGGTTAGGTGGAGTAGAGAGCATGTGGCCATTGTTTCAAATGGAGGTTTGGTAAGGGTCGTCAGTATCAGATTCCATGGTTCCCGAGGAGCATTAATGTTGGAGTATAGGGCCTGTAGGCCTTTTAGGAAGTGCTTAGTTACTGGATGTGCAAACACTGTGGTGTCATCAACTAGCATGTGGAAGGTAGTTATTGCTGCCAGATGGACTCTGATTGAGCTCAGGGAAAGTTGTGAATGCTTGAGATGCAGTAGATCATCTAGGATTGTGGGAGTGGGGCATCCTGCGGTGATATATATGTGGGAGGCTGCCCAATGTGTAAAATGAATCCACTTGTTAATGTATGTCCTTCTTGTTGTAGGAGCCCTGCTGTGTAAGTGGATGTTGCACACCTGTTGTGAACATTGCAGCTGTATGCCCATGAACCATTGAGGTACCATGCTTTGAGGTGAAGAGTTGGAAATTGAGGTTGAGGAGTAGTGGTCCCTGTTTGAGATAGAATGGTTGGGCTCTGTGAAAGGGTGATTGGGCGGTTTTGGGCCATTCTGCTGAGGAAGGGAAAACATGGTTGTTGAGGCCAACAAGGTGCTATTAGGATCGGTGTGTGGGGGTGTGTTGGGGGGGGGGGGGAGGGGGGGGGGGGGGGAAATGTGTAGAGCAAGGGTGTGTCCCATTTCAGGATGAGAGCATCTCTGAGGGAGTGCTTCCCCATGCCTGCTCTGGAGCAGTACAATGGGCATTTCTTGTTTGTTTTGGTGGCAAATAAGTCTATATGGGATTGTCTCTCAGCATATGTCCGCGTGAATATGTCCCTCAGAACTGAGCTGTCGAGTTCCCACTTGTGATCTTGGGGTAGAGCTCTGCTGAGGGCATCTGCTGTTGTGTTTAGGACACCAGGGAGGTGGCATGAACTTACAGAGATGTCATGAGTGAGGCACTAGTTCCAGAGTGTTATGGCCTCCTTACAAAGAGCCTGTGATTGTGCCCCTCCCTGCCTGTTTATATAAAACATACAGGCCATATTGTCTGTATCTATTTTGACGTGGATTCCAGTAATGTGGGGAAGGAAATGCTGGCATGCCAGCTGTACAGCTCTGAGTTCGAGGACATTGATGCGTAATGTCCGCTCTGCTGTGGTCCATAGGCCCTGGGTTGTGAATCCTTTCATATGCGCTCTCCACCCAGTGAGAGATGCATCTGTGGTAATAACCACAGTGGGTTCTGGATTTTGAAAAGGTATGTCCTTGCAGAGGCTGTGCGGTTTTGTCCACCACTGTAGTGAGCTCTTTACCATGTGTGGGAGTGATAGTGTTTTGGTCATCAGGTGGATGTTGGATTTGTAATTGAGCCTAAGCCAGCCCTGGATACACCTCAAAATAGGAGTGCATTGGGGACCACGGGGTTGCATGATGCCATGTGACCAAGAAGTTGTAGACAGTCATGGACTGTGACAAGTGACATTACATAGAGCGAATGCACTATCTGGCTGATCCTGAGGAACCTGTTGGTAGGTAGGGAGGCCATGGCTGTGGTGGAGTCGAGATGGGTCCCAATGAATTGTATGGAATGGGTGGGTGTGAGCACTGATTTGCTCTTGTTTATCTGAAGTCCTAGAGACTGGAAACAAAGTTGGACCAGGTGAGTACAGCGGTAGAAGTTATGTCTGGTTCTTGCCTTGATGAGGCAATCGTCAAGGTACGGATAAATGGTGACTCCACACTTCCTGAGGTGAGCCGTGACCACTGCTAGAACCTTGGAAAAAACCCTTGGTGCCGTGGAGAGTCTGAAGGGTAGGACTGTATATTGGTGGTGTTGCAAACCTAGGGTAAAACAGAGAAAACGTCATATGGACACATGAAAATATGCATCTTGTAGGTCGAGAGACGAAAACCAGTCATCAAGCTCCAGACTGGGGATAATGGTGGCTAATATGACCATTTTGAATGTTTGTCTTTTGACAAATTTATTTAGTGCCCTCAGGTCAAGAATTGGGTGCCAGCTGCCAGTTTTTTTTCTCTGAGAGGGAGTAATGAGAGCAGAACCCAGTCCTGTGAAACTCTGGCAAGACTGGTTCTATGGCTCTTAGTTGTAGCAGGTGATCCACCTCTTACTGCAGTATGATCTCATGATAGGGGTCACTGAAGAAGGACAGGGTGGGAGGGTGGAGTGGGGGGGGAGAGAGAGGAAAGGGATAATGTATCTGAAAGAGATTATCTGTATCACCCACTTGTTAGATGTGATGGTGTGCCATTTGTCAAGAAATGGCAGCAGGCGATAACTGAAGAGTTTGGTCGTATTTGGGAGCTCTGGAGGAGGTAGTATGGTTTTCACCCTCTCAACAAATGGCTCAAATTTGCTTATTTGGTTGGGATGGGCGGCTGGAGGTATTAGTTTGGGGCCATCGTTGTTGTCTACTATGGCCACATTGCTGGTATGGCAGGTGGTCTTGCCTTTGGTAGTGGTATGTAGATTGTGGGTATCTTGGCCTTTGGTATGGCTGATATCTGTACTGTCTTCTCCTTGTTACAGGTGTCTGGATCCCCAGGGAGCATAATGTCGCCCTGGAGTCTTTCACTGAGTGGAGGACCTCGTTGGTTTTTGATGAGAAGAACTTCTCTCCCTCAAACGGCAGGACTTCCACTGACGATTGGATTTCTCAAGGGAAGATAGACTAATTGAACCATTAGGCTCGTTGCATGAGAACTGCCATGGCTGTTGTTCTTCTAGCCATATCAGCTCTGTCCAAGGCAGCCTGAAGGGCTATGTGTGATATTGCCTAGCCCTCTGAAACAATCACTCTGAATTGTATCTTCTTATTGTCTGGTATATTATCAATCAAGGTGTTGAACTTTGCATAATTATTGAAATTGTACTTGCTAAAAAGTGCGGCATAGTTAGCTATTCTCATTTGTAGTGTAGCTGATGCATACACTTTCTTCCCGAGTGAGTCAAGTCTCTTATTGTCCTTATTGGACGGCGTGGAACAGTTTTGTTGCTTATTCCTCTGATGAGCCGCATCCGCTACCAGTGAGTTTGGTGGTGGGTGAGTTGAACAGAAATTCTGAGCCCTTAGGTGGGACATAATACCTGTGGTCTGCCTTTTTACAGGTAGGTGGGATTGAGGCAGGTGTTTGCCACAAAATCTTGGCAGGTTCAAGAATGGCAGGGTTAATTGATAAGGCAATTTTTGCAGAAGGTGTCGCCTGGAGGATATTTCTGAGTTTGTGCTGTGTCCTGCATTTCCTCTATGAGAATGTTCAAATCAGTTGCAACTCTTTTAAAGAGATCCTGAAAAGATGATAAGTCCTCGGGGTTGTAGAGGATGGTAACATGCTGGCCTTGTCTGTACTGGATGGTGAGTTTGTGTCTAGTAATGCCCCTGGACTGGAATTCAGGGAGTGATGTTCATCAGTTTCATTTTGGCCCCTTCCCGTTTGAGGTGATTGGGTCTGGGGAGTGAAAGTTTTTGCTGCGTGTTTGATTTTGTGTGATCTCTTCTTGGAATGAACTAAGGTATCTAATTATCTCCAGAACAGCTGAGGAACGAGGAGCACTGCGGAGTCTGTCTGAAGCCGGGAACAGTAAAAAGGAACTGAAGGGAGGGTGGCCATGCATGCATGATGGTACTGAGGGAGGGGGCATACGCATCGCGCATGTACAGCCCCAATGCACTGCTATCAAAAACCCACTCTGAGGCGCTGGGACGCACCTACACCTACTGTGGAGCACCCCAAGGGACGTCTCTCGAAGAACTCTAGTCTGTCCTGACCAAGGGCAGCATCTGGGAGTAGGGTGGAGAGAAGGGTTGGATATGTGAAGGGGACGTTCACATTACTAGACTTGAGTGCCTCAGAGGAAAAGAACACTGTCTAACCTACCTGAGCTGCGATATTTACTCGTGGTTTTGGTTATGAATTTTGTAGTGTTTTCCTAAATTAATACCATGTTACTTCTTTCCCTTTTTATTAGAAGTTTCTTTTCTACACTCAGACTCTGAGCTTGCGAGTGGGGAAGCATTGCCTCTCAGAGGTGCCCAGGGGACTGTGTGAATTTCCCAGGTTACTGGATAGGGGAGTGAGCCAGTTCTGTGTTGGATGGATGGAGAAGAATCCCTAGACTGCTGCTGACACTACCTGGCAGAAGGGTTACATATACTAACCAGACTGGGAGCTGGACATATCCCTGCTAAATCCTATTGCCATGCCTGGCCCCATCCCCAGCTTCAGAACAGCCCTGCTCTTGGTGCTAAGCACCTTCCCCTTACTGCCATCTGGCTCCCAGCATTAGCCCTAGTGGCAACCTCAGTCTCCTTACTCCTGTCCATGTCTTCTCCCTCCCTCCCCTCCAAGCCACAACCCCATTCCCAGTTGTGTGGAGGGGCACATGGGTAAGTGGGAATGACCTTTAAACATGGGGTATGTCTAGACTACAAGCCTCTTTCGATAGAGGCTTTTTCAAATCTTTCAAAAAAGCCTCTTTTGAAAGAGATCATCTATACAGCCATCGCTTTTTCAAAAAAGCGATCCGCTTTTTCGAAAGAGAGCACCGAAGGCAGTCTGGATGCTCTCTTTTGAAAAAGCCCTTTCGAAAAAAAGGCGTTCTTCCTCGTAAAATGAGGTTTACCACAGTCTAAAAAAACCACCATATTCTTTCATTTAATTTTAAAAGAACACGGTGGCAGCCTAGGCGCAGGTGAAGTTTTTTCGAAAAAAGGCCACTTTTTTCCTAAAAAATCCTGTAGTCTAGACTGCTTTAGGAAGAGATCCTGCACTGTTGCTTTTACAGGGAGCAACAGAAGAGGGTCCCTATGCCCTCTCCTCCTGCATCTCGAGTGCATTACTGCAGTGGAAAGTGGCATCCAGCCCTCAGAATAGGTTAGGTGATGCTTTTATAAAACAAAGTGGTTAGCCATAATAAAACTGTCTTTCTCTGTTTACCAAACAATCTACAGCTGTGCAGAAAGCCCTGATAACATGGGCCTCATTCCAGTTAGGAAAGGGGAAAAAATGTACACATCAGCATAACTCACATTGTTTTCAAGGACTTAAGTAGTGATCCATACAAACTGCACAAAGATGCCTTCATACAAATCTCTAATCCATTAGCACCACTTTCGTGGTAGTCCCTGCCCACAGTAAGACCCTGCAAACTGAAACACATTTGTGACCAAATTAATGGAATCTTTGCAATGATATTCCTCCCCCAACTAAGAATGATTAAAACGGCTCTGGGAATGCAATCCCTGGCCCCTCATACAAGACTTGGAGAACTGGGTTACGATTTTTCCAGGGAAAAGGCTGAATGTCCCTTCATGTCCTTATTTCTAAAAAGGAAATCAATCCATCCTTGTTCCTGTTAACAAAATAACTCCCTCTTTTTGACCTCTGGCATACTGGAAAAGGACTCAAAACTTTATCCTCATGTGGGTGCCTGAGGATCTGTTGCTTGGTCTCCTTGTAGTCAATTCATACATTCTATAAAGCATTTCCAATGTTCTATGAGCTTTCTTCTCAGTATGTGTTTCTCTAGCCAGAAACATGCATGTGTGTCTATACAGATGACAGATGTGTTTATATTGCTTTATGCATGGAACATTGTATAGGACTGCATTTTGCCAGATGAACTTGAAAGACTAAAGTACACTTACACATACTTCATTCTTCCGCAAAATAAATTTTTACATTTTATCTAAGATGAAGTGCCATTTCCTATGAAAAAACCTTCTTTAATAAATGTGCATTGTATTTCTGAAATAAAGAGATTATTTTCTGAAACAGACAAAATAAAATATAAAGAAATCAAATTTACAAAGCAAAAGAGGTATTTTCCCCATTCCTGTTGCCATTGTTAGGCTTTATACACATGGCAACAAACTGGGCCAAAATAACTCAATACTCCACAGTGACAGTTTTCTCCATGATGTAAAGCTGTGAGGATTTGTTGGTGAACATTTTGTAGTGTGTATCCTTTGAGTGTACAAATATTGCATCTGTCTCATGACATTTGTCACCTTATTTATCTTAGTTTAAACAAGACGTTTTAGAAAGTGTGTTTTGGGAAGCAAGAACAGCTTTGCAAAATCAAGAAGAAAATTATGCTAGTTCAATATCTGGGGTTTTGGAAGACTGTAGAGTGCTAATTGTAATAACATCAGCTTTACATAGCTGTTTTCTTTATATTCCAAAGATTTGTTAGGGACTTTGCTGCTTGCATCCAAGAAATACATTCTGTTGTATTAGAACTAGATCATGTTTTTCATCCCTTACAGTACCACAGAAAGTTCCTTATAGGAAATGTTACAATTCAAACAATCTCCTCTACTGATTTTTAGACAAATCTTTCTATTTATTTACAAAACAATTAGCTGAAAACCTAGACCAAGAAGATTCAAAGCTATTTCCTTGCAAGTATGAAGGAAAGCTGGAATAGTCACATGATGACTATAAGTGTATATGCAGAAATAAGTTTTATATAACTTTTTATAAAAAATGTATCTTTTTATTAGTCTGCTTTCAAGTCTTGGCTGTTTGACATCTGCATTTGGCTTATACCAACGAGTAAATCTCAAATCAAGAACCCTGAGGAAATAAATATATCCCTTTAACTAATAAGAGGTGCTACCTGCAAAAATGTGAATTCGTTATAAATGAAGTTTGCTTTTTGTTGTCATACTATTCGACCAAGATATACAGACTTGGGATATTTTTCCTTCAGAGCAGGCCACTGAACTATGAAGTAATCTGAAAAGTAGTAAAGAATTTTTCCAGCCAGGGATAACGTTTCCACTCGGCAGATGCTCTCTACATACACAATGATAACTTTCCTTAGTGCCAGTATGTCAAGGAGAAGGGCAGATATACAAATAGGGACACATGTTCCTGGTCCGTTGCACAATATCTAAAAGAAACAAAACAAAAGTCATACATCAGACTTTTTTCATATGTATAAAAACCTTATGTTTCCATAGACTATTACATTCACAAAAATTAGACCTTTATTAATACTAAACAAAAAGCAAAGGCAAATTTACAGTAGGGGTTACAATGCAATTAGCTTCCAAAAATATTTTAAACCAGAGGTTCTCAAACCGGAGGTTGAGAGATTATTACATGGGGGGTGGGGGTTGGGAGAGTTGCAAGTGACAACCTCCACTCCAAACCGCACTTTGCCTCCAGCATTTATAATTGTGTTAAATATATTTTTAAACTTTTTTTTTTTAATTTATAAGAGGGGTTGCACTCAGAAGCTTGCTATGTGAAAGGGTCACTAGAATAAAAAGATTGAGAACCAGTTTTAAATATCAAATATTGGGGTGAGGTGGGAGTATCTTTCCTAGAAGTTACTTTTTATGAAGGGATCAAAATTCAACCACTTTCAAGAACACAACTAGCAAAGAAAATGGTCAAATACTGGCTTCAGGCAGTGCTTTCACTGATGACAACAGGAGACCCATGAATGGAGCACAATAAAGCCTGAAAAGTTTAATTAAGATTTTTGAACTGGACAATACAGTTATAAACCTCCTAAATTCTGGCCCAGAGGCAGCACATGTACATGCTTAAAGCTTTGCTGAATTAGGGCTTTTATTAAGGCTTATTAGCTGATCTGCTGAATTATTGGGGATTTTCTAGTAAGCACTTGGGAGTTTTTACCAAAACTTGTTACCATTGTGCTCTTTTGTAGGTACATGCCTGGCAAATATTAATTACTCTAGCGAGATAAAGGATATTTCTGTTTGATTAGTAAGAGGAGGCACAAAGAGGGTATAGCCAACATTTTCAAACTAGGATATCTTCAGGCATCTAACCCATTTAGCTCCCTAAGTAAAAGTAGCCTGATTTCAGGGATAGGGGTCATGGTTACTAAACTGAGAGAGACTTATCGGCACATTTGGAACAGTAGCAGATTGTCTGGTAAATAATGGAGACATTGTATTTTATTATGACTAAAACAGCTTTACTTCCCTGGGATGCAATGTAAAATTTGAATAACTTTAGATAATAGGGACACACAATTTGTGTTATCGATTCAGTCCTGCACTTCTCACACTTATGGGCACTAACTTCATCTAAAAAACAGGCCACTGTTACTTAACTACATAAAGTTTGGCATCCACATGTGAAAATTTTGGCCAAAAGTGACTTGGCTAAGATCAAACAGTTGTTCCATAGCCAAGAGCACAGAATCTGGGGATCCTGGTTCCCTATCCTCTGCTCTTGTCAGCAGAACTAATTAAAAACACACAACTCCCATTACCTCAGCACTCCCAGGGTCCGGCCATTAAAGTGTGTGTGAAAAACTTATTTTAGGCTATTACATTTTGTATTTCCAGTTCTCTAAAGACTTCTTTTTGTGTAGAAAGTTACAAGTAGTTTGATAGACATCTGGCAGTCTTTGGATGACACAGCTTAGGTTATTTTCTCATATTAATCAACAGCCACCAAGTTTATATGCAAAATAAAATTTCATTTCTTGTGTGGTTTTTACAGAAATTATTCACATTTGATTTTGATTAAACTGTATATACAGTGGGGAAAGACAGCTTAATGGGTAACACTTTTTAAACTCTCTAAATCATTGAAATTCAGGAGTAGTATTACGCAATGCCCCAGTTAACCAAGAAATGTTTGCTACATGTCAACAGTAAAAAAATTATTTGTATAATAAAATTACAGTGTAATTCTTTTCATACTAGCCTTTTTCTAATTATGAAGCAATTCAGTTGAGAACATCAACTGCACATCAGATTTTAAATTTCAAAATAATATGCTGTTTTTTCAAAGCTGTTGATGCGCTAGATATTGAGTACCTATATCAGGCTTGAAAGTCCACTTTCCAAAATGTTGAGAATGAGAGTTGACATATAATTTCTGCATAATTTAAGCTCTAATTAAAATAATAATTCTACCACCTTACAGTTACTTAGGCCACGTCAGTACTAAATTGAGGCTTGACACTGAGGAGGTCCATCTTCCAGCATTCAATCTAGCAGGTTTAGTAAGGCCCCACTAAATCTAACACTGAGTGCACCCCCGTCAACTCAGGTATTCTTTACAGTCAGGAGAAGTAAGGGAAGTTGATAGGAGAGTGTCTCCCATCACCCTCCTGCTGAGGGGACATGGGAGAAATTTGTCTTAAGGTAAGTTGATTCCAGCTGTGTTATTTACATATCTCGAGTTGCATATTTTAAGCCAGTCTTTCTGTTTAGTATAGACGTGCCCAAAGATAATATTCCAAATGTGAATTAAGTAACTTGATGTTGTCATCCAGAGTCAAGTCTACACACAGACACATCATTGCAGCAAAGCATAATCCGGTCAGTTTCATCTCTGCTATTCAGAATCCTAAGAGCAGCAGTGAAACAGAGATCACTTCAGCTTAATACCACTTTACCTGATTTGTGGAATTTTCTATGACATAACCTCAGTGTCTAATAATTCTGTTCTTTACTATTGTTTCTACCAAATGCTCAATACTGAGGTTAAGCTCACTGGACTATAAATGCCAGGATCTCCTCTAGAGCCTTTTTTTAAAAATTGATACCATATTAGCTACCTTTCAGTCATCTGATATAAAGACTAATTTCAGAGCTTGGTTACAAACTACAATTAGTAGTTCTGGAATTTCATATTTTGAGTTCCTTCAGAACTCTTGGGTAAATACCATGTGGTCCTGGTAACTTATTACTGTTGAGTTTATCAGTTTGTTCCAAAATCTCTTCTATTGACATAGTAGTCTGTGACAGTACTTCAGACTTGTTTGCAAAAATAATAACTCCGATGTGGGTATTCCCTCATATCTTCTAAAGTAGAGACTGATGAAAAGAAATCAGTTAGCTTCTCTACAATGGCTTATGATGTAGAGCAGCCTTCAGACTTTTCCCATTTATGCTGACTGATAATGGCGCCACAAGTGATGTTATAGCAACTAGGGATGTTAGCGGGTAGTCGGTTATGCAATTAACTGATAAGCCTGGGCTTACTGGTTAATCATAACTACACACAATACCCCTCCCCCCACCTTGCTGCCCCTCTATCAGAGGTAGCAAGAGGGGCAGGGAAGGTGGCAGCCAATACCTGTGGAGAGAGACAGCTTTTAAGCTGGCTCCCTGCACATGCTGGCTCCTGCAGAAGCTATCACTCATGGAGAGACTGCTTTTAAGCTGTCTCTCTGTGCATACTGGCTTCTGTGGAGCTGCCTGCCCCCTCTTGCTGCCTCCCACAGAGTGTGGGGGGAGAGGACCAGCAAAAAGCGGGGAGGCGGCTCTGCAGAAGTCAGCACACACAAAAAGCTGGCTTAAAAGCCAGCTTCCCATGAATAATCGCTTCTGCCTGCCTCCCCCGGCCCTGTTGCCTCTAATTTTGACATTACAGCCATTACACTCATCTGCAGTGAAACCGCATTCCTGGAAAATAAAAATTAAAGACAAAATCACGGACTTTTGCTTCATTATAATTAATACAGGAGACCTGAAGACTTGGTTATAAACATTTATATTATTGCTGCCTGCAACAGTGCCATGCAAATGCCTGTTCTCACTTTCAGGTTACATTATAAATAAGAAGCAGGAACCATTATTTCCTGCAAATGTAAACAAATCTGTCTTACTGATTGATTGAAGTAGTTGAACTGAGTGGACTTGTAGGCTCCAAGGTTTTACACTATTTTGTTTTGACTGCAGTCCTGTAACAAAAATCTACATGTGTAAACTGCACTTTCACAATAGAGAGATTGCACTACAGTACTTGTGTGAAGTGAATTGAAAAATGCTATTTTTCCAGTGCACATTAGTAATAAAAATATAAATTGAACACTGTATACTTTGTATTGTGTTGTAATTGAAATTAATATATTTGAAAATGTAGAAAAGCCTCAAAATATTTAATGAATTATAATAGACTTTCTATTGTTCAAGTGCAATTAAAACCACAATTAACTGAAATTTATCTTTTAATTGCATTTAATTTTGAGTTAATCATATGAGTTAACTGTGATTAACTGACTACCCTAGAAGAGACACATTCGCTCGCCAGGGCAGACATGACAAATTAGAGTAATGAATCCTGGGAATGAAGGAGGAAATGGGAGAACAAAGACAGTGCAATTACTTAAGTTTTATGTACACAGTTCTTTTGTTTCTGCTTGTGATGGAAACTTTTCCACCATAACCAGAATATGATTTTTACAGAGCCAACCCCAAATTCTTTTCCCATATTCTTGTCTCTAAAAACAAAACGAACAAACAAAAACAAAACAAAACAAAACCCACATTCATCACTCTATTCTATTACTCAGAAAGAAAGAAGAAACTCCATGAAGTCTTAGACCCTGAGCATGTGGGCAATGGCCAGTGTGCAAAGACTACAGAGAATTCTTTCCCAGGTGACTTGAGCCCTTCCCATATAGTGTCTTATCTCTGGGCACTGGAGATTTTTGCTACTGGCAGCTGCCAATAGGCCACATGCCATTGTAGGAAATCCCCAATTATCATCCCTTTTCATAAATTTATCAAGATCAGTCTTGAAGTCAGTTAGGTTTGTTCTCTCCTGCTTTGAAGATGAAAAGTTCTATAGATGTGTAAAGTATTAAGCAAAGAACAGAAGAGACTATTGTGCTTTAACAAATCCTGGAAGAGAACGCAGTCTTAATTTTGTGAGGTTAAACTTTCCTTTTTTTATACTGTGCAAGTTACAGAGCTGACCTTTTTCCTTGTCCTACTATGGTTTCTCTTGTACACTGAGTTTTTTTAATCTAAAAAGGATACTAGTAGACAAGACATAATATAAAAACAGTATGGTACAAGACAACCATGGGGAAAAAATACATTGGCACACAAAACAAGCTACTAGATTCCCCTTATTAGTAGCATCACACACAGTGCACTTGTTTAAAATGTAAAAAATAGGAAAGGCTTACAACAAAGATCTAATGAGAGTCATGATATAAAGGAACAATAACTTATTATCCATTTTAGCAACTTGCTCAAGTGCTGTGAACTTAAGACATTTTGAACATGGAACAGAGAATGGAAAATCTTAGCTAAGAGAAATAAAGGTCTCCTTTCATATGCTTTCATTGTGTGAGCATTTCTATAACAAATATCTAAGTTTGTTATAGGAATATAAAAGTATAACCATTTAAACAGTTAACAGATAAGCATCAGTTTATCTATTTCTGTTATGATTATACCCTTATACTGCAGAGAAGCAGCGAAGCCTCTCTAGGAGCAGGCCTGGGGGCCCTGCCAGTCTTGCTCCCAGGGAGGCTTTGCTGCGGGCTCCGCAGTATAACTTTTAGAAGATATACTGCAGAGCATGCAGTGGCATGTAACCACTAGGATTTTTAGCGGTTACAATTATATTTTTATGAGACTTTTTACATCCCTACTTTGTTATGGTCAATTTAATTACAGGGTGCACCTCCCTAAACTGGGACTCTCTTGTTCAGCAACTGGACCACGGATGTTGTCAGACAAGAGAGTCCCAGGGCAGGAAGGCCAGCAGCTGAGAGCCCCATGAAAGGTGAGGCTGACGGTAGCGGGGTCAGGGCCCCAGCACACCCGTGGCAGCAGCAAGACCGTAGTAGCAGGGCAGAGGCAGCCCATGCGTGCCAGCCTGGCAGTGGTGTTGTGCTGCGGTCGGCAGTGGGGACAGAGCCGCAGCAGCCTCGCTGGCAGGGGAAGCTCATCTGGGGCCATGGCAGGTTGGCAGTCGATCGGGGCCACGTGCTGGCTGCCAGCAGAGCCGCAGCAGCGGGGCCAGAGCTGCATTCTGCCGTGCCAGCAGTGGGGCCAAGGCAGCTGTGTTGCCTGGTAGCATGGAGCCAAGGGCTGGGGAACCCCAGGCACCTGCAGTAGCATGGGGCCAGCGGCTGTAGAAGCCTGGATGCCCATGGCAGCATGGGGTCAGAGATCAGAGAAGCCTGGCCACTGTGGCAGCCCATGGCAGCGCAGAACTGGAGAACCCCGACAGCCAGTGGCAGGGCGGGGTTGGGGGCTGGAGAAGCCTGGCTGCCAAAGGCAGTGCCGAGCTGGGGAAATCTGGCTGAACACGGCAGCGCATGCTAGGACCAGAGAGCCTCAGCTGCCAAAGGCAGCCCAGGGTTGGGGTTGGTGGCAGCAGAGTGGGTGAAAGGGAAGAGGGGGCCAGAGGCAGGGGGCCGGCTGGCTTTCAGTCCATGGCAGGGATCACCTCCCCTGGACTGGAAATTCTGTCGTGACTTTGCTGGACCAGCGAAGTCCAACCTATAGCTTAAAATCTGGGCATTTTACAATGCTTAATTATTTCTAAGGCATTGCTCTTTGACATAAAATAGAAATATGATTTTGAAAAGAGGCTTGTGATTTTGGTAGATAACACTTTTAAGTGTTATCTACCAAAATCACAAGTCCCTTTTGAGCACTTGTACTCTAAAAATTAGGCCCCTCTAAGATGTCTCAAGTTTGACAACCAATTTTTTTTTCCATTTTTGAAAATCTTAGCTCCAGAATCTGTCTGAAAAGGATTATGAAGAATGTTTTTTTTTGTTTAACCAAGTGTCTGAGCTAGAAATATACTAAGCACCTCCTGAGAGTTGTTCAGCATCCTCAACTCCAAATGACTTCAGGGTAGGATACTGAATTCTGCTCCCTAACACAAAGCATGAGCAGTCACCACAAGCCCAACGCAAGGTACGGAAGCAGATATTATTCTCCTCACAACTAAGAGACAAGGCATATAAGACCACTGCAGCAGAGTCTGCTACTTCCCGTATATAGATTTTTGGCCCCAAGTATGACCATTATAAAATTGTTCTTAAATTTTCTCAATACGTGTGTGGTATTTTAATGCAAAGGGCTTAGGTAATTGGCAAAGATGTACTGTTTCTTTAAACTATTATTCATTTTATCAAGATGGATTTCTTTTTTATAATGTCAAAAGCATTATGTGCATACTAAACTACCAATAGACTAGCAATTTTGACACAACTTGACAATTTTACCAGCAAATGTCACAGTCATTTTAAGGTTCTTTTACAAACAAAGGATCGATTGAATTATGCAACAGTTACTTCAGTGTTCTTCTCATATGATTTTCCACGTCGGCTGCTTTGGTAGCATATTAAACTACTCAGATTTTCCAGTCAATTTCACTCATAATGATAACTTGATAAAATAGATACCATTAAATGAAACCATTGCTGTAGCAAGGCAATTTCCTAATGCACTCATTACTCTGGTTTCATATAAGCTGTCCATTTAATTGGATAAAAGGCACTTTACCTTTTCTTTGCTTTTCTTTTTTAATTACTGTGTGGAAAGAAGGGCAGGGGACTCCACAATGACTTTTCCTTGATCTTCTGTTTTATTTAAACTATATATGAGGCTTGCTGTGACACAAACCTAACTCCACCAATTAAGCCAAAAAGACCAGGATCAGGCCCATAAACAGATTGTGTACAGCAGTGATTCTCTACCGGGGGTACATGTAACCTGGGAGTATACAAAGGTCTTCCACGGAATACATCATCTCATCTAGATGTGTGCCCAATTTTACAACAGGCTACATAAAAAACACTAGTGAAGTCAGTTCAAGGTAAAAGTTCATGCAATATTTTGTTTATATTGCTCTATATACTATGCACTGAAATGTAATTACAATATTTATATTTCAGTTGATTTACTTTATATGCTAAACATGAAAAAGTAAGCAATTTCTCAGTAATAGAATGCAGTGACACTTGTTTTTATGTCTGATTTTTGGAAGCAAGTAATTTTAAGTGAAACTTGAGGGTACTCAAACTAAATCAAATTTTTGAAAGGCGTACAGTAGTCTGGAGTGGTTGAGGATCAGTGATTTACAGAAGCTATCATGGTGCAGCATACTGCATATGTAGTTAACCTTGATGTTATTTAGAATTACTATAGTAGGTAACTGAAGTTTTTAAAAAGTTTTGTTACAATTGCTTGTCTTGTTTATACCATCACTACTGAGGATTCTGTAATTATATGTTATCAATAGGCATCCCAAACAAGTCTTGTTGCAATCTTTAAGGACACATACAGATGAATAGGAGTGAAGGGCGGATGAAGTTGTATGTATTTAAATAATGTTATTTTGGGAACTTTATGAAATGTTAAAATTAAAAATGTGAATATCAGAAAAAAAGGGGGGACAAGATTTCACTAAAATGTAGCTAAATATTAGAAATAGGTCAGAACCAAAACCCTGAATTTAAGCACATTAACTTTGAGGAAGTTTGGCTCAAATTCATGTGTTTGTTTGTTTTTTTGTGATGCTGGACCAATCTTTAATAAATATAGTCAAATGCAAAAGTAACAATTTTGAATGCTTAGGATTTATTCAAATGCACTAGGTGATAGTAACAGAAACATATTGGCTTTAACAACAAGGAATCCAGTGGCACTTTAAAGATGAACAAATCTATTACGGTATTAGGGTATGTCTACACTAGCCCCCTACTTCGATCTAGGGAGGCTAATGAGGGAGACCGAAATTGCAAATGAAGCGCGGGATTTAAATATCCCGCACTTCATTAGCATGATCCCCGCCGGTCGCCATTTTAGAAATTGACTAGCCTGAAGTAACTGCCTGCGTCTACACGCGGTAGAGAAACGGGATTCCAAATTAAAGCCCTAACTCGAATTAGCTGGTAAACCTCATTCCAGGAGGAATGCCAGCTAATTTGAGTTAGAGCTTTAATGGCGACCAGCCGGGAACATGCTAATTTAATGCTTCATTTGCAATTTCGGTCGCCCTCATTAGCCTCCCTAGATCCAACTAGGGGGCTAGTGTAGACATACCCTTAGAGAATAAGCTTTTGTGAGCTACAACCAATGTTCCCTCTATTTTTTTCTGGCCAGGCATGCACAGATATACAGCACCAATAGAAACACATGCTGCCAGCTGTGCAAGGCTATGGGCACTTTGCTAATCAGCTGGATGGCATTTTAATCTCTCCTGGGCAACAGCCCAAGCACTCAGCTTACAGAGAACACTGGCTACAATTCACTTTCTCAGATGCTGAAGAGAAAAAGACAAAAATAAAGAAAAGGAAAGGATACAGAGATGGGACTGTGACATCAGTGCTAATTAAATGAGAGAGGATGTGGCTTGTCTCCAACAGTGTTGAGAAGAAAATGAGCAGTCCTGAGGCACCTTAGAGTCTGACAAATTTATTAGGTCATGAGCTTTCATGGGTAAAACCTACTTCATCAGTACACCAACATATTTATGGCTGACTTAGAACAATGATTCCTCAGCTCCTATTCCCAAGTGCTCCTCCTCTACTTACACTACATTGACAACATCTTTGTCATCTGGACCCTTGAAGAAGTCCACTGGGATTTCAATTATTTCCACTCCACCATCAATCTCATCCTGGACCAGTCCACTCAGGAGATCTACTTCCTGGACACTAGTACAAATAACTAATGATCACATAAATACCACTACATACTAGAAACATACTGACCCCTATACATACTTATGCACCTCCAGCTTTCATTCAAAGCACACTACAACCCTCACCTAAAACCTCTCCTACACATCATCAAGGCTCTACAACCTATCAGATGATCCTTCGCTCTCACAGACCTTAGGAGACAGGCCAACCCTCACTTACAGACAGCCCCACAACCTGAGACAAATAATCACCAATAATCTCACATTCCACAATAGAAATACTAATGCAGGAACCTATTCCTGCAGCAAACCTTGTTGCCAGCTCTGTCCACATATCTATCTTAATGACACCATCACAGGACCTAGCAACATCAGCTATACCATCAAAGGTTCAATCACGTGCACATCAACTAATTTAATATATGCGAACATGTGCCAACAATGCCCCTCTGCCATGTACAGAAGATAAACCAGACTGTCTCTATGCGAAAGAATTCCTTTCAAGTAGGAATAAGGGATCTTCCGGAAAAGGGTTTATTTTCCACAAGATCCCGTCTAGACTGGCGCTTTTCTCCGGCAAAACCCCGAGCCGGAAAAAAGTGGCAGCCATGTTCATGCAAATGCCGCGGGGGATATTTAAATCCCCCGCGGCATTTGCAATTCCGAAGTGTCTCATTAGCATCCCTTTTCCAGAAAAGGGTGCCAATGTAGACACAGCCATTATGTTTCACAGATTAACCAATTAAAGGGGAAGCTGGTAGGGAGGCGCTTCAGCCTGGCTAGAATAGCGTGCCCCTCCCCAACGGCCAGACTGGAACAGCCCCCTGCCACAGGTGCACATGGGCTGCTCCAGCTGGGCTGAAGCAGTTCCCGTATGGCTTGAGCAGCCCTCTGCCCAGCATGGGAAAGGAGCTGCTCCAGCCTTCACCAATTATCTGAAACTGGTAAGCATCACCCATTGTGGATGATGCTTACTGGTTGCCTTTCACATCTGTAGTTGCCATTCTCAGACAGAAAAACTTCAAAACTGACTATAGATAGAAATTGCTGAGTGGAATTCATATGCAAATTTGACATCTAAACCAAAGTCTAAAACTCTAAATAAAAACATGAAGTGGTTCTCCTATTACAGTAGTCAATTTCTCATTCAGGTATTCTCATCTTCTCACCAATGTTGGAGATGAGCCACATCAATTCTGATTGAATTAGCACTGCTGTCACAGTCCCATCTCTGTATCCTTTTTTGCTGACACAGACTAACCTCTCTGAAACCTGTCATATTGGCCTAACAGCATGAATTTACATATTTGAAGACAAATGAAAAAATTACTAGAAAGATGGCATCTAATCTACATTTTGGTAAGTGGCATATCTCCTTAAATGAGATCATTGCCAGCGAACAGGCTAAGTAAGTAATTTCAATGACTCCAAGCAGGCCAGGATCAGGCTGGAGATGACCAGGTGGATCCCATCAAGGAGGATGAGGCCCACTTCTAGCAGCTGATCTGGAGGTGTGAATTCCAAGAGAATAGAAGCTGCTTTTGTAGTTAGCAAGCCATTCACAGTCTTTGTTTAATCCAGAGTTGATTGTGTCAAACTTAAAGATGAACTATAGCTCAGCATGCATCTGACGAAGTGGGTCTTTGCCCACGAAAGCTTATGCTCCTACACTTCAGTTAGTCTATAAGGTGCCACAGGACTCCTCGTCGCTTTTGCAGATTCAGACTAACACGGCTACCCCTCTGATACTTGACTCCAAAATTGAACACATTCACACATAGTTTAAAAGTCCCTGAGACACTATGCCAGAGAAACAAATACAGAAACAGGAGGACAGGTTTAAAATTTAATCAGAACCTTTCTACATGTACTGCCCAAGTAAATTAGGTCGTATTTAAGTCAATAATTATTATCCTCCACAATCACAGGACTACAGATATTTTACAGGTCTCCAGCTATAGAACTCAACTAAATTTTTTGGGATGAAATTTAACACTTCCCTTCTTTTTAGTAGCTATTAAGAAATATTGCACGGTGTCCTCACCAACATGCAGTTACTGATTGTGAGGCCATGATGCCTTATTTGTCTATTGCACTATTTACTACAACACCAAAATGTCTCTAGTAAGCACGGTCAGGGTATTATTCAGATACTCTACTACAGAGAAATAACTCCCCTAACATTAAGTTCAGGATTCTGTTTCTTCTGTTGACGATATCATAAACATCTTAAATACCAGAGGGTGAAAGCAGTGCACAGCTTTGCCTGTTTCAAAATTTAGTCTATTGCTAAGGCTAAATTGCTATGTCTAGTCTGCAGGCTTCTTTCGGAAGAACCCTTTTTTCAGAAGATATTTTCTGAAAAAAACTTCTTCCAAAAGAGAGCGTCCACTCACAAAAGCGCGTCGAAAAAGCGATCTGCTTTTTCGAAATATAGCGTCCATTCAGTGTAGACGCTATCTCGCATTTAAGATGTGATTACTATGGACCAGGGCACCCGTGCTTTTTCCTCTTTCCTCTTCTTTTTAAAGAACTTCCTCTTCCCCGTCCACACACGCCTTTTTCCGAAAGCTCTTTCAGAAAAAGGCTTCTTCCTTGTAGAAAGAGGATTACCATCGCTGGAAAAACCCCTCTGTTCTTTCGATTTACTTTTGGAAGAATGCGATTGCAGTGTGGACATAACTCAGGTTTTGTCAGAAAAACAGCCATTTTTCCGACAAAACACTGTAGTGTAGACATACCCTAAGTAGAAACAGAATTTTGCATTGGTAAAAAGGACCATGAATTTTGTTCTAATATACTACTAGAAAACTTACCCATTGTTGCATCTGGGTCATTCAGGACAGGGGGCTGGCAGTGGGAGGGATACAGGAGTCAGGGCGGGGCCTTGGAGATGGGGGGAGAGGGACAGGAGTCTGGAAGAATGTGGGGTGCAAGCATGAAAGTTGGGGGCTGAGGAGGGGCTCAGGGCAGGGGGTCCCATCCAGCCAGGCTTTCTCTCCTCACCCAGCTGTCAGGAGCCTTTTGCCTACCCTACCACCAGCGCTGCAGCCAATGGCCAGGAACAGGGGGAAGGGTTAGGCCGGGGAGCTACCTACTCAGTCTTGTGATAAACAAGGTGGAGGAACCCCAGCCCTTCTGGCCATTCTCTTGGTGGTGCAGCTGCCCCAAGTGGTCTCTCGGCACTATAGCTCTCCCCTGCAGGCTTGCTGCTCCCCCAGTGGCCACTGTCAATATCATATCCCTCCTCTCTGTGCACCTCCTTTTCCATGGGAAAACAGTCCCATTCCCGGCACTTCCCATTTTCTTGGCACAACCAAACCTTGGCCTTGCTTTAAGTTAGAGTAAGAGGAAGCTGCATATGAAATTTGGTGGTCCTATCTCCTACCATTTAGGAGGAGTTCTTGGACAAATTGGCTCAGCGACAGATGGATGAACAGACATTTCTAAAGTATGTAGATTGATTATAGTCTGATCTTGTCATCTTTTCTTAATGGGAGTTTTACCTGAGTAAAGACCATAAGCATAAGTATACACACATTGTATATTCATTAACGGCCTGATATGACAAACAGCTACTCCCTCTTAGAACAGATAAGCATTTCACGATTAACAAGCTTTGTTTTACCTACCAAATCTGGCTTTAGTCTGAAAGTCAAAGGAAAGGAGTAAAGTACAGAGTACAGTGTTGTAAGTATTGAAGAGCTCCAAGATTGCTGCACCTCCCGACATCTGGGAATGCGATTAAGGGTAAACTAGAAGAGAACAGGATAAATTAAATTACTTTCTTTCCAAGGAATATGTGACAGCATATATATCAACATTATTATAAAAACATTTGTTTGTTGCTCACTGTCTCCTTTTTACATGCACTTGTTATGTCTAAATCTGGAATGTAAACACTTTGGTCAAGAACCTTGTTGTGTAAAATAGAAGAACACATAAAAACAATACCTCTGCTAAACATCAGAATTCTACTCTTCCGCTCCATCCCACATTACTTTAAAATATTTTTAGCTCATTAAAAATAGACACGAGAATCAACTTCATCTGCAGTTTGTTAACTTAGTGCCCCACCTAGTGGACACCACTAAGCATTAAAACAATTTTATGTTTGTACTCATCACTGGACAAAATTTTCTGACTTTTCCAAGTGTAAACTGGAAAAGGAGTTATTGCAGTATAAAAACTGAGATAAGCAAGAAGAGAATCTAATGAGGCAGTGGCTAGCATACTCTTATTTTAATCCAGATTAAAAAAAAATTAAAATAAATGATATTCTTATCCTTTAAATTAAGGTTGGGGAACCAATGGCTGGCAGGCTGGATCCAGCCCATTGGTTAATTTCATTTGGCCCTCCCTAATACCCTGAACCTCAATGCACATGTGTGAGTGATGCAGTACCCCCTGATTTTCTGTGGGGTCACCGCCACCAGTCCCTCAAACAGAGCTCTGCTTTCATCCTCAGCTGTGGCTCCAGCCTCAACTCCCTGTCCAAGTCTCTCCCCTCCCTTCCAGAGCCACAGCCCAGTTTTGGACCCAGTTTTGAGGATCACTGGCTTTCAGCACCACTGCCTCTGCACCCTATCCCAGGCAGGTAAGATAGAGCTATAAGCACCAGCTTGCCCCGCTGTGTGGAGAAGCCTTGAGCCTCTGCGTCCTGCTGGGCAGGTGAGTAACTCCGAATTTACTTTTTCTGTGGGTTAATGGCACATGACAGAAAAAAAGATTACCACCTCGGCTACAAATGAATGCATCAGCCACAAAACTGACAAATATACATAGAAAAAGTATTTGAAGAAATTAATAATTGAGAAAAGTAGTATTGTCAATTTCTTTAGAAACTAGTAAATTAAAGGGAGGAGGAGAGAGAATATTCAATAATCAGGAGCTACACAAAATTGCATAAATTCATCCCTTCCTCTTCCCCCCCAAAAAGGTAGCACATGGATAATAGTACTTAGAATCCACACATCCTTGTTAGCAGGCTTTTGGACTTGATTGTAACAATTCTAGAATACACAGATGGGTCAAAAGTTACTCTCTAGTCACAGTGAAACTCCAAACAAACATACCATGTGTGATAGCTGTTTTAGAGAGATGGCCAACTATTTGATAAGAATTGGCCAAAAGCTGTTAACTCATTTCACGAAGGCCACCAACAGTCACCAATTTGTAACAAGTTTCAATAATCATCAACTTGATAACCTGGAAGTGAAATGCTCCTAATCTCTTCACCAAAACCATAAAGTCTTCTGTAATTCTAAAAATACCAATCTTAGCTAACATCATGTTTCCCTGATGAGTGGTGTGCTAAAATCAGGAGAAACTAAGTTTTAAAAAAACTTTGTTAAAAAAAGTAAACTAAGAGAGAAATTCTTAACATTATAAAAGTTGGACAGACAATCTTTCTGTAAAGAGGATTGGAAAAAATGGTTAAAAAGCAGAAGAAGTTACAGAACAGAACATTATTCCAACAGTCTTTCTAAAGTAGTTATACATTTGAAATACACACTCATTGTCATAAACTTTTTTCTTTAAATATTGTAATTTTGAGTCATCCGTCTTATGACATTGTGAAAACATTCTATTTAACAACTACAGAATGTATTAAATCTTAACATGGAATTGTATAGAAGGGAAGCTTGTTTTGAAAGTACTGAATTGCAGTGTGTCGTATCAATACATAGAAGTTACCACAATGTGAGAGTATGTTTTAAACTTATGATTTCCAACACCCCCGATCTATATTTTGTTTTAGAAACTGAAAGCTTGCAATAACATTTTCCATCTGTACTATAATCCAAAGGCTAACAGTAAGCACTTAAAACTGATGCATCTTTTAATGGAAGTCCGCGTATCGTATTCATATATACCAGAGATGGACCAATTAGTCTTTTTTCACCTCAGATCTGATATCATAAGTTTGTGTTTATTTATAATTGCTTTTTCTGCAACTAGAGACCTTTACATTGTTAGTCAGCCATCAAATTGTCCAACAGTCAAACAGTTGGCAGTCAAACAACAGATAACTGGAGAACGGTAAACTTAAACATTACTGTTGTAGTTCTTTATTATCTAGTGACTTTTTTTACTACCTTGCAGAATCATGCCATTGCCATGGCCCATAACAGTGTGTTCAACTGAACATGATCCCAAAGGAATTAGATATATTTAACCTCCTTTCATGCTGAAGAATTAGGATTTCCTAATGTGATCTATTTTATAAGGTAAGATATAGAAGAGAATATGCAGTGTAGGGTAAACTTATTTCCAACATGCAGTTAGACATATGTCTATATAGGAGTTAATTAACCTTGCTGCACTTACCCTCTTCAGATATGAATATTTAATAAAATGAATGGAAGCTATAAAATCAAGCATCAACATTAAGGTCACCTGTTCTAATATAAACTGCTCATTCTATTGGTGAACCAGTAACTTGTGAGGTTCAATGCTGCAGAACCTTTCCAGAACCAGGTTCTATGGGCAGCAGCTCTCAGGAGAGCACTGGCAGCATGAATCTTGCAGAAAAAGTGCAGTCAAGGGGGAAGTGGGGAAGTGGGGAGCTCAGAGGCAAGGGGCAGTGCAGAGGCCAAGAGTCTCTGCATTGAAGGCCCTTTCTATTGGTGGATTACTCAAGATTCATGGGATTAGAAACTAGGGATGTTAAATTTAAACAACTAATTGAACAGTTAATGGAATTTACACTGACTATTTGATTAACTGATATGGGCGCCTCCGCCTCTGAAATGTAGCAAGAGCTGTGCTGGCTCTTGCTACATTTCAAAAGCAGAAGCGCTGCAGGGAGTATGGGGCGAGTGGGGGAATTCAGGTAGTCCCCCGCTGGCACCGTGCTCCCTGTATTTCAAAAGCAAAGTGTGTGGGAAGCATGAGGCGAGATGGTGGTTAGCTAATTAGCTAGTGAACCCGGTAAAGGTTTACCAGGACTCAGTTGCGAAGAATTCTACACACAGGAAGTTCCTGATGAGAGAAGTATCTAGCAAAGCTCCCTAAATGAGAGATGCTGGAAAGTATGCTCTGAGGAACAGGGAATTTCTAAATGATGGAAGGAAGTCAAGTCTTTCAGAAACCATAATTGACAGATCTCTTTAGAAGGACTCTTGCTAAGTAGTGGCAAGATGCCTGACCCCAAGGAAGGGACTTGTGCTAAAAGAACCCTGCTGGAAAGGAATGGTAGATCTAGGTGGGAACACAAATTGAGATTGACTCAGTCTTCCAGCTAAGACCCAGGGGTGAAAGCTTGCTTATATCTTTATTTGATCTTTGTTCCCTATATAAAGCCTTTGTGAACTTATTGATGATGTGAGGAAAGTGAGGCAGGAAACATCTACAGTACCACACAATTGGAAGACTGCTATAGCAGTGTTTCTCAACCTTTTTTTTTTTTTTATAAAGTACCCCTTTAAAAAAATTATAAGTATCCCCAGTCCTACAGTTTTCAGACACAGAATTTTTTCTACTGTTGCAACACATTTGTTTAAGCAACTTAATCGTAGCTAGGCGTGCGATGAAATTTTTGGGTGTAAAAATACAAAAATAACAAAGTGCTGTAAAACATAAAACAAAAATTCAGTTTTCTCCAAATTTCAGTTGTATTGATGTACCCCCCAGACTTCTCGAGTACCCCTAAGGGTACTTGTACCACTGGTTGAGAAACACTGTGCTATAGGGCAGATACATCCTGTGACAGTGATTCAATTCCTAGCCTTCCTTAGGAAGAGGAAAAATCACCTCTATGAAGATAAATGAGGGGGAAACTCTGCAAGTTACCATTCACTGTGTTTCCAGTCTTCTGCAAAGGAACAGGAGAGCTTTAATACATGTACACTCAAAACAAAACATATTAAATCCTCAAGCTCTCACCATGCTGGAACAAACAACAGGCTGAAAGCATACTCTATAGTGTATGCTCCTCAGCTGGCTGAAAATAAGCTATCTATGCTGCAGGTAAATTGATCTTTCCACCATCTCCCCATGTTGAATATGCTTATAGAGTGGGCAGCCTGTATTTCTCAAAAAAGTTGAGACTCTTTTTCCAAAGGAAAAAAAATCTGTTCCCAAAAAGTCCATCTCAGACTCTCACAAATGAGTTCCTCCTACTTTCTGTCTATAAGGAAAAGAAAATAATGGAGTTAGCCCATTTGCAGTGGGTGGAAAAAAATCAAGAAACTCTTAAATGACCCTAAAAAGACCCTAGCAAAATGATACATAATATGAAGATTCCAAAACTATTTTTTGTTATGAATACTGCTAATTATCTAACTATCATCAGGTGAAAGACAGAGGGATTTCAAACAACTTTACTCCAAAATCCTTCTCTTCATTCCACCATACATTTAGACACTGTATTTTGTTCTCAAGAAGGAAAATCTTTCTACCTCACTTCTGCATTAAATAAGCAGAAAGAAGAATGTAATTTCTTAGGTGGAATAACTCTCCCCTTAATCTTTAATAGAAATTCCCATCAAAATAGGTCTATGAAACAAGATACTGAATTATTCTCAGCTAGGCTCACCACAGACTTATGAAAAATATTTTTCACTTAAATACAAAATGTGTTGGCAGCTGGCCAGGAACCTTGTGGTTGCACCTAGCTTTCTTTAAATAGACTGCAGCTGCTTTTATCTTTAGTACAACAGTGTGGTTGAAGAGGTTACAGGTCCTATTATTCCAGGCTCCATCTTAAAACTGAGTAGTCCCCGTATGGACCAAGACTGTCCTGTGCTATAAGCAGCACTTCATAATTCTGCATGCCACACACTACCTGTGGGCTACATTTTGGTTACTCTTGCTTTGAATATTAAGAGGCAAATTCTGCAAATTATTAATAATAAACACAGTGCATAATATCATTTTTAGGTACCACTGAAGTGCTTCAGACTAAACAAACATGTAGCTTTATTTTATTGCTTTGTACTTTATGGACCCAATCCAATTTCAAGTGAGGTCAATAAAGATCTTACTACTGACTATCAGGGCTACATCTAAATTACAACTCTTTTTCGATAAAGAGATGTAAATTAGACATATTGAAATTGTAAATTAATCTGGGATTTGAATTTCCCATGCTTCATCTACATAATGATGGCTGCAGCTTTTTTCGAAAAGCCACTTTTCGAAAAAACAACCCCCCCCCCGCAGTTAAGACGGGGATCGTTCGACAGAAATGTTATAGGCTCTTTCGAAACGGGGCATTTCTGTCGAACGATCCCCATCTTGACTTTTTTTTCGAAAAGTGGCTTTTCGAAATAAAGCCGTGGCCGCCATCATGTAAATGAAGTGCAGGAAATTCAAATCCTTCATTTACAATTTCGATACGTCTAATTTACATCCCTTTATCGAAAAAGGGATATAGTTTAGATGTACTCCAGGAGTCGGATCAGGCCTTATGTCACCCGCGAATGTTGTTCATCCATGTGCAGAATAAATTTTGTTATGTGTATGAAGGCATGTGTAGATATGCATCACCACTAGAAACTGCTGCTGACTGTGGGAATTCTGCTAATTAGTTGGGTAGCACCAGAATCTCTCCTGTGTGGACATCCAAGTGCTCAGCTTACAGGAAACATTGGCACTGACTCATGTTATTTTTAACCAGTACCACACCTCTGAATCTAAGTAGACAAATGTGATATGGAGTATGAGAGAGTTATGACTTAATCTGTAGTCAATAGAAACTCTCATTAGAATTCCTTCAGATGGATTGGGCTACACGTTAGAATGCAACCCAATACTAATAAATTCTACAAAAACCACAGAACTTAAAGCCCAAAGTATAAAAACATGCAGCAACAAGAACAAAAATCAAAACTCAAAAGGTATATTTAAGTCAAATTTAATTGTCCTTGGTATACTTTTTGTAATACCGGTTGAACCTCCCACATCCGGCACCCTCAGGACTCAAACGGTCCCGAATGAGGGGATTTGCTGGACCAGGGGAAGTCCCTCCCAACATGGCCCATGCTGTCCTGCTGCTCCCAGCTAGGACTCTAGCCTAGCCCCACTGCTGCCTGCCTGGCCATGGCTGCCACTGGGGTCAGAGTTCCGCAGCCGGCGACAGAGCTCCGCTGCTGGGGCTGGAGCTTCACAGCTGGGGTTGGAGCTCTCTGGCCACTGCTGCCAGAGCTCTGTGTCTGCCTCCCCAAGCTCCACCACTGGGACCAGAGTTCCATGGCTGCCATTGCTGGGCTCCCACTGCAACCTGACTGCAGGGGCCGGAGCTCCCTGCTGTGCCACCTGCCAGACCATGGCTGTTGCCCGACCAGAGAATCCGGGTTAAGGGAGATACAACCTGTATAAAACACTTCAGATATTTGAGAAAAAGTAATGTATATTAACAGGTCTTGCCGAACCGTGGCGAGCCCTGCTCGCCAGCTGCGCTGTCCAGCGATCTGCACATGAGCAGATCGTTCTGCGCTTGCACAGATCGCCCGAACCCGGCTCTTCGCCATGGGCGAATAGATTATACTATTTGTCAAGTCCTATATATTAACTTAGAGGACACCATCAATTTAAACCATACTTTTCCCCAAATATATTACATTTACTGTTAGAAGAAACACTGATTACAACAACATTTAGGGCACGTCTTACACAGCAGGACTAAAGCTGAAATAAGCAACAAAACCTCAGCTAGGTTAACTGCGTAGCTGAAGTCAAAATAGCTTATTTAAGCTTTTGGCGGTGTCTACATAGCAGGAAGTCCGAGGAAGAGCACTCTTCCTCCAATTTCCCTTACTCTTCATACAATGAGTGTTACAGGAGTTGGAGTAAGAAGTCCTCCAGCTCAACATAATTTCAACATTATGTCAAAATAGTTGCTTGTAGCATAGACGTGGACTATGTTATTTCAGAATAACATCAGTTACTCCAAAATAACACTGCTGTGTAGACATTCCCTAAGAAACTATGAAAAAAAAAATAAGCGTGGTTGCTTATGCATTGAATAGATAGCAGGTTATGTATGGTCACTATACCCCAGATACAGTTATTTTCCTTATTGTTATTGGGTGGGAGTTACACAAGGTAATGAGAAAGAAAGACAGACAGACAGAGAGATGTATGGGAGCCACCAAAACTGGCAGGGAGACTAAGGGACTAACATCTGAAACTACTTTTAATTTTTCATGATCTACTTTATTAAGTTTGCAGTATCTCTGTAATATACATGTAATCAATTCTGTTCATTTGATATTTGACATAACTTGTCATTTCTGAAATATACAGAGAGTACAAATGTAACAAATTAACACACCTTAAACATTTTAGCTGAATGTTTTATTTCAAATTGATCCAATATCAAACAAGTAAAATTAATGATTTTAGTAATCCTTTTAAAGGTGATTTAAACGACAGTAGATCCTCATAGTTACAAACATCTAGGGAATGGTAGTGCTTTGTAACTTTGAAATGTCTGTAACTCTAAAAAGAACAAATCCTAACATTTTGATCAGAGTTTTACAACTAAGCATTCACTTACTATAGCTTTACTGTGCAGAAGAAAATTGCTGTTTTCCTTTTATTTTTTGAAGTTTTCATTTAACACAATATTGTACTGCATTTAGGGATATAAATGATTAACCAGAGAGCATCACTCTTATTTGGTAATGCTTACTGGTTATGGTTAACTAGCAGTGGGCTAAAGCAGCCCCGCACAAGCAGGGAGCAGCTCCAGCTCTGCAGGGCCCACCATAGGCCTAACCCAGTGTGCTGCAGGCAGAACCGCTCCAGCCTGGCCAGAGCAGCCCCCATCTGCAGTGGGAGGACTGCTCCAGCCCATCTGCAGTGGGTGGAGAGGGGAGTTCAGCCCAACCAGGCTGAAGTGGCTTCCCTGCTCCTCCCTGTTTAATTGGTTAAACAGTGTTTAACCAGTTAACTAACTGAAAGGGATTTTACATCCCTAACAGCATTTGCTTTTTGTTTTGGTCTCTGCTGCTACCTGATTGTGTTCTGCTGATTCCAAATGAGACATGGTTTGTGCAGTTGGTAACTCTGGTGTTCATTTGAACATAATATACTACAGTGCAACTTCAGAGTTATGATTAAGCTGTCTTATGAGTATATGACTTACCTGGAAATTGGAGAAAGTTTCAGCTCTGTTTTGTTCAAAAGAACGTATTTTATCTTCACTCATCTTATCTGAATCTGCAAAAATATAATGTCTAGGAGAGTATGACAGGGACAAACTGCCGAGTAATCTCAGCATTTCTGTTGTGTGTCCTCCTGAAAAAAAATCAAAGCTAGTTAGTATATGAAATACTTAGCTACTTCCAGCTGAAAACTTGTTGCTGGGGGTCACTTCTTCCTTTGAGAAACACTGCTACTACTAGCATCATTACTCACCCCCCTCTGGGAGCTGGGAATTTAATTAGGGGCTGTTTATGATGGCTAAGGTAATACGGAAACAGTTCAACTCTCACTGAAATTAACTGAAAGATTCACTCATTTAAAATGGGAGTTGGACCAGGCCCATACAGAAAACATACTGTAGAGACCAGCTCCCCACACCCTCCTCTCTGGCTGGAGCCCCCATGCTCTGACCCCATTCCCCAACACATGGAGCAGGGCAAGTTCCTGTGCCCCACGTGGAGTGCTGAGCAGGCAGAGTGGAGCCAGCCCCTGTACCCCAGTGTGAGCACTAAGTAGGCAGAGCAGGTCACACCCCCAACACTGTGCTGTGGTTGGAGCAGGGAGATGGGAGGGGGGCGGAAGCGAGTAGGTGGCGTGTAGAATACACATTTTTACGGGAGCCCTTATTTTTAGGGCCAGAGCATCTATTTCTCCCTGCCCAAGTTCGGTTGTGGTGTGGGAGGGGGGGAAGGAGATCCCATCACTCATACCTCCCATCATTACCCATCCACTGTAATTCTTCCATTGTAATTAATCTAGTACCTGATCTTCACTGGAGTGTAAAGTGATTTGAATATGGTTAAAACAGAGTTTGGTCCTATCGTGTAAAACAGCTATATCAGTTGGAGGACCATCATATCATCCCTGAAATGGTCAATTTGCCTGTTAATAGAATCTCATGCTACTCTTTATATACTTAAGCTCATTAATAAATTAGCAACAATGGCAACATTGTTGCTATTCAGTGAAATGGCAAAATTTTGGTGGGCCATTCAGTGAAAAAATTATAGTCACCAAAATTTAAATGTCTCATTTTTACTCCTTTCTTCCACCGACATGTTTTTTTAAAGGAGCAGGCACACAGTTACATTATGCTCATGTGCCAAGACACAACCCCAGATAGCATGCTGAGGAGTGAAACTGAATATGACCCCATTCCTGTAAGCCACAAATGCAACACTTTCATTAAAGCTTATCGGAATTCTCTGTCCTTAGGGCATGCAGGATCAAGCTGTAGGTTGGGACTATTTTATGCCCTGATCTTGCAAACAGTTTTACTCATGTACTTAAATTAAGCATGTGCATCTGTTTGCAGAATTGGGACCCTAGTTATTTTCACTCCGCCATCAGTTACAGCAGTAAATCAAACTGAAATAAAGCAGCTCAGTTGTACTCTATCAGCTGTGGCACACTTTTAGTGGTGGCAAATATTGTCTGGAAGACTAATAGCAATTAGGATGCATGGCTAGACACTTGTACATGGCAGGAGACTGACAGAAGAAAACCATGGTATCTAGACTGCCATAGATCAGCACTTAAGGCAGAAACACATAGTTGTCAATTTTACAAACATTTTTGCACAATATTTTTTGAAAGTGTTCTAAAGCAGCAGTTCCATGGGCATCCAGTGGCTTAGTCAGGGGAAGGCTCTGCCTCCCCCAAACCGCCAGCCTGGCCCTGCTCACACTCCACTCCCAGAACGCTTGCTGTAGGTGTACTGGGGGTGGAGTGATGCTGTCCCCAGTGCCCGCCCTCTTCATGCTCCGGCCATGCTGCCACCTGCCTCCCTGGTGCTCCAGAGAGGCTGGAGCAATGTGGTTTCCTCCTCCCACTGCTACCGAGGCCAGGGAGGTTTGGGCCAGCTCAGGACATCCCGCTGCTCCCGAGGATAGCATGGCCTGCCTCCCTCTGCCCCAGCTGCACTGACTGCCCATGTGCGGCTTTCAACCACTGGCTGCTGAGCCACAGCTGCTCTGAGGGCCAGGGTTGGGATATACTGCCCAGTGTCTCCCTTCCTGCCGCGGCTGTTGGGAGAGGCATGTCTTGCAATACCTCTCAGCACTGTGCTGGGGTAGGGTCTCCTCCCTGCTGCAGAAGAGCAGTTCGCTGCATGGTGGAAGGGCCATGCAAAGCCTGGCATGACAGCCTTAGAACATCCACAACCCAGGAAGCAATACTAAGCTGATGGCTGGGAGGCAGCACAGGGCTAGGGGTGAGGCACTGGGAGCTCTGGGGGCAAGGCTAGTGCTGGAGAACTCTGGGGATGGAGGGCTCTAAGAGGCAGGGGGCTGGCACTGGGAGCTCTGGAGGCAAAGCTAATGCTGGGGGGCTCTGGGGACAGGGCTACTACTGGGGAGCTCTAAGGGATGGGAGGGCTCTAAAAGGCGAGGGGCTGACACTGTGGCATCCACAATAGGGAGCTGGCTCTGGAGGCAGGGCTAATAGTGAGGGGGCTATAGGGGCAGAGCTGGCACTGGGGTGGGCTCCTGGGAGGACTGGGTGCAGTGGGGCTCTGAAAACAGGAGGCTGGAAGTGAGGGGGGGAGATGTGGTGGTGGAGGACTCTCAGGGGTGAGGGGCTGGTATTGAGGCATTTGGAATGGGGGGCTGGCACTTGGGGACTCAGAGTAGGAGGCTGGGACTCTGGGGTCAGTGCCTGGTGCTGGGGGGTTCTAGGGAATGAGGGCTGGCACTAAGGGCTGGGGCTTTTAATACCGTGGACCAACAAGCACATTCACAAACTTTTGGCTGGCCAGTAACATTTTTTATTAACATGTTTGCATAATGAAAATGCAAATATACAAATACAAAGTTACTGGTCCACCAAAAGTTTGTGAATGAGTTTGCTGGTCTGTGGTATGAAAAAGAATGAGAACCATTGTTCTAAAGGACATCTTCTTAGTTCAGTAGTGGGCTTGCAAATTTAAAGTCTTTATATTTAAATCTACCATAGTAGCATTATAGCAGGAAGCTCTCAGATTCAAACTCAGTCATATGTGTGTGTTTTAAAAACCATTACCTTAATCCTTACATGGGTATGATGTGAGTGCGCTTTTCACTTAGCAAGTATAATTTTTTTTGTTAAAGCATACAAAAATGGGTTTTTCACTTACTTGAAGAAAAAACATTGTATGTACAGCAGGTGACTCATAAAACAAGCTAAAAATGGTGCAAAAGATGCTAAGACATATTTAATTTTCTTTAGATGTGTGTGTATTGTTTCATGTACCCTTTCAGTATCATTCCAGAAGACTCTCATTCCCCCCATTCTTAACCCCACATGTCCTTGTAGAGGGGTGTCTTTCACTCTTTGTTTTCTGTGTCTCAAAAAAAAAAAAGTGATAGAACTAGTGCTTGTTTCCTTGAAAGCACAGCTAGGTCTCAAAAGACATATTTAAATGAAATTTCACTCTACATCCTATACATCAATTGCTGCCCTTAAGGGTGTGTGGTTTTGACAAGCTCTGTTCAATAGCTACAGCACTCTATTCCAGCAGAGGATACATATCAATGTTATTAATAAATAAATATATCCATAGCGTACAGAGGGCCCCATGAATAGTGGAGGTTAATTTTACAATCCTTGCAGTGGAAAGGTTACACTTTTAATATAATAAAATACCACTCTGTAACCCAGTAATGGATGAAGCAGTCTTACATATTAAAGAAGAAATATAAGACAATAGCATTATTGTCAGTGATGGTGGTCGTGGGTAATTACAGCCTCCTCACCACGTAGGTGTGTTTTGCCCTTTGGCCTTCCTGGTTGCTGAAGTGTGACCCACTTGACTCCCCAAATGTGTTTGAACAGTGACCATCACCCTGGGTTCTCTGTTCAATGCCCCCCATGGGTTTCGTCCTCCTGTTCGTTGGCTGTCCCTCTCCTACCTTCACTATCCACTAGGGATGTGAAATCCAGGCTAATCAGCTAACTGGTTAAGCATTGGTCTCCCTTCATGGTTAGCTGGTTAACCGAGCCGCATCCAGGCTGGAGACCACTGCAGCCCTCCCAGCCTGCAGGGCTCTCGCCCCTCACCCTCTGTTGGGGCTCCCCGCTGGCTCCCTGCTGGAGCAGCCCCGGCCTGCGGGGCAACCAGGCTCCTCGTGGACAGGGGTTGCTGCTCCCGCCCCCCGCTGGTTAACGGTTAACCAGGACCGGTCAGCAGCGCCCTAACTGTCCCTGCCACCCCCTCCGCTCTGCATTTCCGTAGAGCTCTGGGCTGCTGCCTGGGGGCTCCAGCAGCCTTCCCCAGCCAGCACCAGACCACCGGCTGCCGGACTACACTTCCCAGCATGCACCGCTTCCGGGGCGGCGCTGGACGCTGTCGTTCACGGCGGGGACCGCCCGCGGGAGTTTGCCGGCGCGCTGTGCTGCCCTCTGCCGGCCGACAGGGAGCGGGCCCGCTCTACTCACCGGAGCCGGCCACCACCAGGAGACTGAGGGGACCTGTCCGCGAGATGCTGTTCCGCCTGACTAAGAGAAGCAGCGCAGTAATCAGCACCAGCAGCACAGCGGCACCCAACATGGCCTGCAGGACGCCCATAACGAGGCGCGGGAACAGTCGGAACTCCGCAGAACCCAGGAACGCACGGTGCGGAAACTACGGGGGCCGTAGCAGTTCAAACTTACTCGATTCTGTATACGCGTTTCGTATCGCGGCGATCGGCAAGAGTCTCCCTTACCCCGGCGACAGTGGAACACAGGTTCTTGCGCGCGCTTTTCGCACCTCCCCCCTTCACTCGGGGCCCACGGTCGCCCTTCCTTCGACTCCAGCGAGCGGGAAGCGGGGCTGGGTGGGAGGCTCTGTGAACCTGCTCCTGGCTGACGATGGCCGATGTAGGCAGGTGGTGTGTAGAATAAGGATGTTAAATATCGGTTAATCGGCTATTTCCAGCGCCGACTCGACTACTCGACAGGCACTTCTGCATTCCTCCTTTGAGATGTACAAGAGACCCACCCCCCCCCCCCCTGGGGCCCTTTGTACATTTCGAAGGAGGAAGGCGGAACTCCCTATGCAGCCCGGGCCAGCGGGAAGTCCTGCCGACTCCAGGCTGCCCGGGGCACGCCAGCTTTGAAATGCATTTCAAAGTGGACGCGCCCTCATGGAGCCCCGGGTCAGCAGGGGACTTAGAGTCCCCCACTAACCCCAGGCTCCATGCTGATGCCATGCGGAGCCCGGGGTCAGCTGGGGACTCCCCAGCTGATCCCGGGTTCTGTGAAAATGCTGCCTGGAGTCTGGGATCCAGCTGACCCCGGACTCCATGCAGCGCTGCCGCTTTCAGGCGGCATTTCAAAGGGGCAGAGCCACACAGCTGAGCCCGGGATCAGCTGTGCATTTCAATCTGATAGAGGCAGTATGGGAGGGGAGAAGAGGGGGAATCTTCTAGTCCTTAATATCCTTAGTGTAGAAAGCTGCTCCCTGTAACTCTGTGCTACGTCCGGGAGAATTTAGGGGCACTAAGCATGCTCAGTAACTCTGCTGAAGCCAGTGCCTTTCGCCCTGCTCACTCTTTGTGTAAGTTTATGCTTCATTTTAAAAGGGGCTAAACAGAAGAGGGAATGACTGGGCAAAGGGGTGAAGCAGCTGCAGGCAAGGTTAGGATCGGTGCTGGAGCAAACTCAGGGATGGTGGGGCGAGGAGCAGCAGCAGAGCAACACAGAGGGCAAAGCCCAGCACAGGCAGGGCAGAAGGGGTAACAACAGTCACCCCTGTGGGAGTAAAGCACCAGTCAAAGAGTGGCTATGGCAGAGGGGCTGTTGTATTTGCTTAAACCTGCTTTTTAAAAAATGTACTCAAATCAGATGCCCCGAGCATTTTCAGTACCTCTGCTGAAGCCACTGCCCTTTGCCCTGTTCATACCGGGTGCGTCTAGACTGGCAAGATTTTGCGCAAAAGCGGCCGCTTTTGTGCAAAAACTTGCCAGCTGTCTACACTGGCCGCTTGAATTTGCGCAAGAGCACTGACTTTGTAATGTACAAAATCAGTGCTTCTTGCACAAATACCTTCACACCCCGGCTCGGTAAAAAACCCTCTTGCGCAAGAATACTTGCTTAAGAGGGCCAGTGTAGACAGGGAAGAACTGTTTTGCGCAAAAAAGCCCCAATGGCTAAAATGGCATTCGGGGCTTTCTTGCGCAAAATCGCATCTAGACTGGCCACGGATGCTTTTGTGCAAAAGCACTTTTTGCGCAAAAGCATCTGTGCCAATCTAGACGCACTTTTGCGGAAATACTTTTAACGAAAAACTTTTCCGTTAAAAGTATTTCTGCAAAATAATGCCAGGCTAGACACAGCCACTATGTATAAGTTTCTGCTGACTACATTTTACAAGGTGTTGAAAAAGTGGGCTAACGAGAGGACATGAAGTCTCATAACATTTCACACATTTGTCTTATCTGCTGCCTGTGAGTCGCTGAATTGCACTCCCTTCATTGTAACCCATTTTAATTGTAGTTTTGCTCCTTTGCAAATGTTATTTTATTACTTTTATCACTCTGTGAAATGCATGTCATTGTACTATTTGTTTTTGTTGTAATAACTAATGCTCAAAAACAATTAAATAGCAGTTCTTTCTCTGGTTCTCTTATAGCACTTGCTACCTTTTATTTTTATTGTTATAGCACTGCATTCTTGAGGGCATAATATCTATGCGTGCAGACTAATGAAAAACCTTCCCACTGCCCCCCTCCCAGTCTCTGCTTGAACCAAAGCCGATCAGTAGACATGGAGTAAGACATACTTAAACCTCCCTGAAGGTTTATGTGTATCACTCCATTACTATACAGAATGGAGAACACAAAGTCCAACATAAGAACCACACTGAACTCTGGGACACAGAAAGGAGGGAAGCACTGCCTGATGGGAAATCTGTGCTCCAGATGCTGCTAATGACTCCTTACCTACACACACCCAGATCACAAATTATCAGGCCAATTCTAGGCCAATTTTTAAAATCAGGGACAGGTCTGGTCCCCTCATCCGCCCACAGTGGTGTGGAGTTGTAGTATATGTGGGTATCCACATCCGTGGGTATCCACATCCGTGGATGCGGATATATGCAGTTCCTTTTTGCAGATACCAATTTTGTATTCAAGCTAGAGTTTAATGAGAAACACACAAGCAGTACAAGTACAAAGTTGGCCAAAAATGTAACCAGTTGCATATTGTGCCAATGTAATAACCTGTTTAAGGATCATGTTTCTTGTAATTAATTTAACCAACTCATAGAAAACTAGAACTGGAAGGGACCTCAAAGGCCTTCAAGTCCAGTCTCCTACATTCACAGCAGGACCAAGCCTCATCTATATCATCCCTTACGGACGTGTATATAATCTGTTATTAAATATCTCTAGTGATGGAGATTCCACAATCTCCCTAAGTAACTTATCCCAGTGTTTAACCACTCTGACCATTAGAAAATTTACATTAACAAGTATTTCCACTAATGCTTATAGTCCTCCTCAGCGGGTATTACATGTTAAAGGAATATTATTTTGTAACTTTTTACCATTTTGTGAAAATTATCTGTATAACTGTGACTTTTTAAATTTAATTTTCTCATGTATTATCAAAGATGCAGTGCGACACCTGTGAGAGGTGGGGACATGTGCCCTGTATTCCAGAGGGAATCACTGAGAAGATCTGAGTGATGAGAATAAAGAGTACAGATGCAAAAAGTGTGCTTAGTCCTGCTATTTAACTGAAATGTACATTTTACAGTGATTTTCGTGAAGTTTTCTGCAAATATGACATCTGATTATATAAATGAGAACTTGAAGTAGAGAGCAACATTACACTTCTCAATACAGGCAAAAGAATTAATAACTATGTATAAGGTACAGACTAATATGGCTACCCCTCTGAGACTTTTATCTATAAGTATGTGCAGATGTTTGCTGTTCTAAAACTGTTGAAATGAAAAATGTTCCTGTATGTATATCTTAACATAAAAATGTTATTGTTATAAAAAAAAAACCTCTATCACTGTGTTCATATGTGACACCGATTGTTCCTTCCTAAGTGGAGTACTTTACATTACTCCTGATTGAATTTCATCCTCTAAATAATTTGCTACATTTGGGTTCAGGGATTTGGGTTGAAGACTGACCCTAAGGTTAATTGAGTTTAAGACCCCTGCTTTACTGGCTCTGCTCCCAGCTGCCGGCAGCCTCTGTATTTGGGCTTTCTAGTCTAGCAACATCCCGAGAGTCCTGGACCTGAGGTTTAACCTGGGGTTTTGGGTTTTTTAGATTTGGAAATAGACAATGAGTATTATGTACTACGTAAAGCTGCAGATGCTCAGCAGCACATTAGGAATGATAAGAATTAAATCACACTGTACAAAGACCACCCCAAAGTCATGGCAGGTGGTCGGGTTTTATTACAGAAATTCTATCGCGCACAAACTCCGCCGTACAGCGGTGGGGTACGGGGGCTCGGGCCCACTCTCCCGAGCTCCAGCCCCAGGGCCCTAAGGCAGGGGGAAAGGACCTCCCACCTGCCTGCGGATGGGGTGTGAACCCCTAAACTCGCCCGCACTTGGGGTCCTCGACCCAGCCCTGGGCCACTTCCTACCCCACTTGTGGTTCTTCCTCCAGGGCTGGCACAGGGTTGTCACTCACCCTGGTCAGTTCCCAGCTCCTCCCGTCCCCTCTCTCCTCTCCAGCTTCCCCGGCCTCCTTGCAGGCTTCCCCGGCCTCCCCCCTGGCCAGCCCAAGGCTCACTCCCTTGCCAGTGGCCTCCGGGCTGCTTCTGAATGCCTCGCTGGCATGGCAGGCAATGTCATCGGCTGGCACCGGCATCGCCATGCCAGCCGATGCCGTGGTGACATCATCAGCCAGCGCCAGCCCTCCGGTGCTTTGTGCGCCAGGGGGTGTTGTGTCTGGCAGTGTCTGCTGGGCCGCCGCTACCTTGGCCTGGCAGCGTGCGGGGCCATTCCACCCCGTCACTCACCCTCAAAGGGCCTATATACATTGAACACTTAACAGTATTTAAACTTCTTTCAAATAAAAACAAAGCAACCTCATTTAAAACAATAAACTTCAGAAAGGATAAGCCCTAAGAATAAAGAGAGAATGAAGGAAGAAGCCCATCACCAAGAATGGAGGCTATTCTATTTAGTGCACCCCAATATAGCATGTATGATTACCCTGCCCTACACGTAGGTGCAAAGAGCTTCTGGCCCGCAGGGACTTTGTATGAGCTTTGGAGACTATGGTGGCTGAATTGGAGGAGCTAAGGAAGGCAGAGAGGTACATAGATGAGACTTTCCAGGACACAATAGAACCGTCCCATCCCTGGTCACACTGACTCTGTGCTGTTAAGGAGAGTGGAAGTCTCAGAGACGGAGAAATGTTACTGTCACGGGCTGGGCCCCCCCTCAGACTTACAGCCCTGTCATCATTGGGGTTGCCTACCCGGGCACCTTCCCCCAACCCGTGTTTCCCTAAGGTCAATTATGAGTTTTACGTAAAGTTCGTGGCCTGCTCCTTGATTCTGCTAATTTTCAGGCATAGAGAAGATAACCGGCATATGCTACTGGACGTCTATCAGTAGTGCACATGTTACGTTGTAATCATACTACCATCCAGTCCAGTAGAGACTTCATAACCCAGTATGAA